CTGAGATTCCTCAATCTGTTTCATGCTTCTATGTCACTGGATCTATTTTGTTCATCAGTTTATTTTGTTCTTTTGTTCTTCAGATTCCACATATGAATGAGATCATATTGCAATGATTTTTTTTTAATGCAGTTCTCCCATAGAATCATCTCTGACTCTATCCCAGAGAAACTATGGGTTTACTCTCCTGAGGAGATTGTGCAAACTCAATGATACTTCATGAAAATTGTGTATTTATCTGTTTGTCTGTATTGCATCACGAAGTCTTTAAATATTTATGAAACTGGAAGTGATTTTATTAAATATAATGGAAGAATACTCCTTTCAGCCTTGGTGAATGTTTAATTAGTACGAAGAAGGATCTGAGAGCTGAACTAACTCTGGATATACAACAAAGTTAAGTTGTGGACATTCTGGCACAGCCAGTCAGCCAGCTCTGTCTCATTTTTCTTCAACTTAAACCTTGTCTAAAACTGAGGACCATCTGTGCTATGTAATAAAAAGTTATAGTCTCTGTGCCATAATAATAATTTTGAATTTATATGATTTAATATATCTGAAGTTTATACTTACAAAAATCATGAAACAAAAATGTGTTTAAATCTCATTTAAAATGGAAAAAATCATTTTTTAAAATTTTCTATTTATCTAACCTGTTTGGTGAACAGTTTAGTCATGATCAAAATGAGATAATGTATAAGCAATATGTAAACTGTAAAATGCTATGAAGAGGAGTCTATCTAAAAGCTAATATTAAAGACAAGACATTTCCTCTCTCTTCTCCAGAGAGAATAACCCTAAATCTGTTAACCTTTTCTAATAGGTTTTCATTGCCAACCACACAAATTCTTGATTAATATTCTTTGAAATTCCATTAAATTGCAGACAAAAATATAGTCCTACATTGATCCTTGGCTCTAACGTGTCCTTTCTACCAGGACAGGACAGACTTTCTGGGCCTGACTTAAATGTCTAGCTTTTAGAAAGCTAGATTATTCTTTGCTCATTTGTATTTTCTTTGCATTGTAGCATTAGGCCCAATCATGCAAACTTTCTTGTAGCTTTTCTTTGAAAGCACCGAAGAAATTAGCTCCAAAATTTATTTTAGATAATAGAAAATATTTAATTTCTCCCTCTCACTCATTACCAAGAAAAATATGGCAAGTTTTAAGCTTCGGGAAAGATATATTTCTTTTATTTGCATCCTAATGTGAAATTACTGCCTTAATACTCACCAGCAAAAATTATTTCCAGTTCTCAGAAATACCACTATCTACAGACTTCTAAATAGTTTATTTGTAGTTGGAACTTAAAGAGGTTATCTTATACTTAGTTACTGCAACATTCCCCTTCTATATAAGATGCTATTAAATCAACATAATTATAGCATACAGCCTTTGAGCATCCCACTTAATAGCAATTTATTGTTGACCCACTCACTCGCACTGTACCCTCATTGAGAGTAATACCATTCATTTATCTGAATAATGACCGGTTGAGGGGAATAGCATTTGTATGAATAATAATTGAATAAAGAACAGTGAAAGGAGAGTTTTTATCTTATCATGCTAAATATTGTGGAGGGAGTTTAAGCCGATCACCCTGGGCACTACACAAATGACTGAATCATTCAAGTACTTATTAATTAAATCCCATGCTTAGAGTTCTTAAATAATAAATATAGATTGTACTATATGTTGCTCACTTAATAGCAAATATTTGTTGAGTGCCTACTGCCTGCCTATGCCAGGTACGTGCTTAGTAAATATCCCTGTTCTTATGGTGTTTACATTTTAGAAGGAGGAGACAGTAAATAATAAACAATAAATTTAAATATATATATATATAAAAAAACACTAAAGTGTATATGTAGTATACGTATATGTATACATATTGTGTATAATACTGTATAATATATCATATTAGAAGGTGATATGTGCTATAGAAGAAAAATGAAAGAGCAGGGCATTGAGTGCTAGAATTGGGTAGGTTGCAATATTAAATAGTGTTTGAAGTGGGTCTAGAGAACTAGTTGGAATTTGAGAAGATTTGTAGGAGATAACGGAGTTGGCTATGAAGACATCAGGGAAAGAGCATTCCTGGCAGAGGAAACAGCCTGTGCAAAAGCCCTGGGATGAGACCAAGTGTAGCATCTGCCGGGGCAGGCAAGGACCCAGGATGGCGGAGGGCAGCGAATGGACCAGAATAGGAGAGGAGGTCAGAGAACAGGCTAGGGTGGTGGTGCCGGTGGAGGAACCAACTTCTGTAGAAACTTGGCTTTTTACTCTTGGTGAAACGGGAAAGCGCTGGAGGGTTTTGATCAGAGGGACATGATCTGGTTTATGTTTTAAAGGAGCCACAGTGGCTTCTATGTTGAGAAGAGACTGTAAGGAGAAAGGGTAGAAGACATGAGGCCTGCCAGAAGCTATTGCGGCGGCCCGGGAAAAAGTTAATGACGGCTCCACACAGGAGTGGTGCCCAGCAGTTGGATGCTGAGTGTGTTTAAAGACAGAGACAACATGAGAGGCTGATGGATTGGCTGTGGGACGTGAGAGGCAGGAAAATCAAAAGTGACTCCAAGGTGTTTAGCTGAGCAAGCGGAAACAGGAAGATGTTATCACCTGAGCTGGGGGAGGCTGGGGCTAGAGAGGGCTTGGGGAAGGAAATTCAGCAGTTCAGTTTCGGTCTTATTGAGTTTGAGATATCTCTTAGACATTCGGATTGAGACACGGAGTGGGCAGTTAGATGTACAAGTCTGGAGAGATGGCTAGCCTGGATATATAAATTTGGGAGGTTATATTGTACATGTAATTTGCAGGGCCCAATGCAAATTGAAAATGAGTATTTAAAGAAATTACTAAGAATTTCAAGATTGGGACAGAGCATTAAATCAAGTGCGGGGTCCTTCTGAGGATGTGGCACAGGTCACACACCCATGACGCTGGCCTTGTTGGGAAGTCATTGGCAAATACATGATATGTAAAGCCACACGATCGGACAAGATCATCAAGGGAGGAAATGTAGATGGAGGAGAGGACCTAACACTGACCCGTGGGCCACTCTGGTATGAAGAGCTGGAGAAGAGGAGCCATCAAAGGAAACTGGGAGGTAGGAGGGACCAAGGGAGTGTGCTGACCTGGAAGCCAGGAGAGAGCATGAGGCAGGAGTGAGCAGCTGCAGAAAATGCTGCTAGGCAGCCAAGCAAGGTGAGGACAGGGAATTGGCCACTAGCTTTAGCAATTTATAACCTATAGCAACAGTGATTTTAAGTTTTTCGTAAGTGGTTAAGCAAAACTACTGAGGGCCCAGCCGGACATGGCTCAGCGGTTGAGCATCGACCTAGGATCCAGGAGATCGTGGTTTGATTCCCGGTCAGGGCACATGCCCGGGTTGCGGGCTCGATCTCCAGTCTGGGGTGGGCAGGAGGCAGCCGATCAGTGACTCTCTCATCATTGATGTTTCTATCTCTCTCTCTCCCTCTCCCTTCCTCTCTCTGAAATAAATAAAGATATTTAAAACAAACAAACAAACAAACAAAAACTACTGAGGGGGTACCACAAATCACAAAAGTGTAATAGTTGAAAATGATTTCTTGATATTACATGGCAAAAAAGATATTGGGCCATATTTCACATTTGTACAAACTCCCTAAGTATGGCACATTTCTATAATCACTTTTATATAAGTAAATTTCTATTAAAATCTTGGTATATTGGGAGCAGAGAAGATAATAATACATTTAAAATGATGTCGGAAGTGGATTTTCTGAACTTTTCCCAAATTTTTTTGGAGAGTACCTATCTGGGCCGATATCAAGTATTTATGAGGCCCTGATAATTTGTCTTAAGGTAATATTTTATTTAAAAAAAAATTAGGATCCTTGCAAAGAGAGATTGCTTTTGAAATACTAGTTATCCCCCCTTTCTTAGTTTCTATTGCATTTGCTACCATATTATCTCAAGACATGACAGTAAGACACTGACATAGAAGGGCTTTGAAGCAAGAAGAGACGTCTTCCCAACCTTGACCTGAAGGTAACTTTAAGTATCAAATCAGCAGGCACCCAGGGGTTGTTCCAGAACAAAGCTTCACCTGTTGCCTGGTCTTATGCATTTTAATGCACTGAACGCTAAGAACAAAGAAAAAAGTCATAACCAGCTTCTGACTTTTGATTAAAACTCTTTTGCAGTTTTCACAAAAACATTTTATAACCTAGCCAGTAAAGTGAGGGTTTGTGTTTTTGTTGTTGACTAGAAGAATGACCCAGGCTGTGAAAAGCATTCTTCCAGAAACTTAAAGTCTGCTAACTGCTTCCAGGTTTTGATATGCTTCTGAGGTTAATAGGATATCGCAGTAGGGAGCCTCAAAGTGAAGGTAAGTTTTACCTAGAAAATAATTCTATTTTTGTACTGGAAATTGAATTTGCCTTTTTAGACGGAATAAATTTGCATTTCAAATAGTGAAGGAAGTTCTGCAAAGAATCTCGACCACATTTAGACACAAATTATCTATAGTTTACTGCCTTCGGTGACCTCTTTGCCAACTATCCTGGGTCTGCAGATAAACTCTTCTGATATGGGCATTTTAAGCACCACGAGGAATGCATGACTACCTTTCAGAGGCAAGCAGTCTAGAATACAAGAACTATACGTTATACATCCAAAATATCTTTTTCTGGAGAGCACAGACTAAGGTCCCTGAGATGAATGTAAAGTGAGTAAACAGATACCGGAGTTGCTGGGAGTAACAGGGGCTCACCCTGTGTGAAGGGTGCCCAAAGTCCAGGGTGCTATATAGGGCCAAAAAAGAAATCGCTCTCTGGAAAGGAGGGAAAAAGATGAGCCCTGTTGGCAGTGACCCCACTGACATTAGAAGCTGAGGACCACCCAACCCCTCTCCCTTACCTACGTTTAATAAAAACCTTCCACCCAGACTCCTTTGGGAGGGGGTCTCATTCTCTGAGGTCACCCATTCTCAGTTCGTGAGTGTGCACTTTTGCTTTATTAAATTTATTGTGTTTTGCTAAATCTTTCTGCCGCTCTTGAATCCTTTCTTGTGAACTGACAAGAACTAGGACCTTGATATTAGGTCGAGGCCGTCACGGTGCTGCTGGGCATCAGACTAAAAGCTAGAAAAATAAATTTCATGGAATAAATGTAATTAATTAATTATGTATGCTTTTGTTTGGTTGCTCATCAGTTATCGCTGGCTCATCCAAAGAACACCCAGACATGTGAGAAGTAATTAAAATTAATTGTCTTTGATCTTTAGCTGACTTTTGACCATATTACAAACTTAGCTTTATACATTTAAATTGGTCATTGTTATGAAAAGTAATTTTTCAAGGTAATAGGATAGAGCATGTTTTATATAAAAGTTTATTATTGTGATTTATAACTTTTTTTGAGTTGATTTTTTAGAGAGAGAGGAAAGAAGAGGGAGAGAAAGAAAGAGACATCTATGTGAGGGTGAAGGGTCAACTGGCCGCCTCCTCCACGCCCCCTCCTGGGGATTGAGCCTGCAGTCTGGGCATGTGCCCTGACCGGGAATTGAACCAGCACCCTTTTGGTGCATGGGAGGACTCCCAACCAACTGAGCAACACCGGCCAGGGCCCGATTTATAAGTTTAAAATATTTTCCCTGTTGGTATGTGAGTGTCCATTTGTACTCTTGCCCCAGGCAGTGCAAATGTCAGGGGAAGTTCCACAAAGTAGTATATGATGAATACATTTCTATTTATTGGTTGATATAAGATCTTCATGAGAAATAAACATTTTCTTCATGGTTAGAATGGTTTACATTTTAAAAAACAAATAGTGCTTTGATCTGTTGAAAATCTTTTTCTAGGCGTTGGTGGTGATTTCTTTTTCTTCTGAACTATTTCCATGTTTTTAAAAAGCATTTGAAAAAACATCAGTTTCCCTTTCCTCTTCTGAAAAGCTGAGCTGTGACATCATGAGGTACACAGTGTAAGGTGAACGTCATGGTGAAGAGCATCCCACAGGACCCGACCCAGCGCCGAGAGGCAGAGTCCCAGGGGACAGAGGAGGCTGTCCACGTTTGGGGACAGCGTGGAGTGAGTGTAAGAGCCGAGCTGGGTAAGGAGGGCCTTCACATGGGGTGGTGCCCCAGAATGGAATGTTGGGGCCCAGGCCTGGTGACAAGGGTGCCCATATGTAGGGCAGCCTGGCATGGGGGTTCAGAGCCTGAGCAGACTAAGGACATGGCAGCAATAAAGGGAGGCGGGTTACAAACAGGGGGACTGATGGAAAAGTAAAAAGATCAAGAAAAGTGGGAGTCAGGGTTTTTACTGTTTAAAGGAAACGGACAAAGCTAGCACGAATGCTGTGGAGTTCGATTGGAATTGGTTGTGTCTGTGTGAACTCATGGGTTTCAATAAATATAGTAAATTCAATTAATAAAATCAATAAATACAGAATCGTGTGTGGTGAGTGTGTGTGTGTGATGGCCTTGAAGTAGCACTTGTTCCCCCCCTCACCAAAAGCAACGAACACACCTTTCATCCAGGTTGCTAACTGTCATTTTACACTAAAAAGAATCAGGGTTTTTCTGGAGATAACTGATTCCAGGGCTCAGTCAAAACTTTTAGGACATCCTATTAAGCCAAAGAGTAAGAGTGTTCTGGAAATGATGAGATCATGTCAAAAGGACACAGAAGCCAGCTTAAAGGGGATCCCATTGATCCATCTGAATGCCTAAAAGGTAATGCTATCTATTATCTAAGGGATGGGCGGTAACCCGTTGAATATAATAGGAAGTTATGAGTCCACGCTAACATACATTCAGAAAGGCAAGGTATGCTGAAGGGGATGTTCACATTATTTCAAAGTGCCCCTATGCAAGGTGTTTGCTGGTTACCAAAGGAAGGGCAAGCTTCCAGTGAGGTCTGGCCGACACCACCTTAATCGAATGATGAAGGCCGACATTCTCAGTAAATAAAGCAAAATCCCGCAGCCCCCGACAGAGTGCACTGAGGCCATGGCCTTGTTTCTGTAACATTTCTGCAGAAGATGCAGCGCTGGAACTGAGTCATGAGAAAACACTGAGCAACTCCACATCGAGAGACATTCTGTAAAATCATTGGCCTGTGATCTTCAAACATGTCAAGGCCGTGAAAGTCAAGGGAAGACTGAAGAACTGTTCTAGGCTAAAGGCAGCTGGAGACAAGACAAGTGAGTGCAATTTGGGATTGTGAACTGGATCTATAGAGGACAATTGGACAATTGGGGCCTGGGGATTAAATTGTAATGTCAGTGTGAACCTTCTGATTGTGATGGTGTCTTGAGAGCCTGTAGGAGGATGTTCTTGTTTGTAGGAAATATACATGAAAGTATATATATTTTTAAATCCTTACCCTAGATTGTTTTTTTCCATTGCTGCTTTTCAGAGAAAGTGGAAGGAGGGGAGAGAGAGAGAGGGAAACATCGATTTGAGAGAGACACATCAATTGGTTGCCTCCCACACTCACCCCGACCTGGGCCAGGGATTGAGCCTGTGAATGAGGTACATGCCCTTGACTGGAATCAAACCTGAGACCCTTCAGTCCTCGGGTCGGCACTCTATCCACTGAGCCAAACTGGCCAGGGCTACAGGAAAGTATTTGGTGGGTAATGGGGCATCAGGTTGGCAACTTAATCTCAAATGGCTCAGGAAGAAAAGATCTTTAAATTCTACCTGCAACTCTTCTTAAGTTTGAGACTGTTCCAAGACAAAAAGATGCTACTACATATAAAAATTAAAAATAATCCTTCAAATTAGCTCATTATAATTCTGAGAAATGAATAGAAAATAACACATCCCTTTTAGCCAACTAGCCTAAAGACACTTTAAGAGCAGAATTTAAGTAAGACGACCTAGGTGGTTCTGATGGAACGGCAGATAAAACACAAGAAACTTGTGCCTTGCAAGTGATGGATGAGCACAAAATGCTGTACAGCAAGGGTGGAAGTCTGCACCACCTATGAATACTGAGTACTCAGGTCCAGGGGCTGAAGCAGACTGCTGAGCATAGAGTATATTTCCACATTTTAGAGTAGAAAATAGTGTGAGTTTCTGCCTGCTGAGATGGAGCATCACAGGGGCTGCATTGTTAATTAATTGATTGACTCATCCTGGCTCTGCCGTTTTCTGACTGTAAGACGTGGCCAAGTCACGTAATCTCTCTGCGCTTCGATTTCCTCACATGTAACAAGAAAGGGATAATTCCAGGGCCTACCTCCTAGGTACTCACGGGAGGAACTTTAAATGTGTTAGTGCATGTACAGAGCTTAGAACACTGCCTGGTACAAAACCAGTGCTATGTGAGACAGTGGTAACTACTGTGGCTGCTGTTCTCATAGTTATTAACTTAGTCATCAACCATAGGATGTGCGCTCTTCCCTGTGAATAATGGTGGCCCATGGCTCATCTCCCCCCACCTGGAGCTGAGAGAAACTTTCCCTGCTGTGGAAGTTTCTTACACCACCCCCAGCTGCTGTCCCTCTGGATGGTCCTTAATGGTATTATCAGTACCCACCATGGCCTGGGCCCAGCTTTCCATCCAGACCCTGGAACCCCACTGGCTGAGCTGGATGCCCCTGGCCCATATGTCTAGAATGGATCTTCTATTTCCCGCAAGTGGTTCACTGTTTTCCTTCGCTCGAGTCTGCCTTTAGGGTGTTGGCCTCTTCATTACCTCTTTTTGGAATGAATCAAATTGTCTGGGACTATTGACTAAACCCCACCTCCTGTGTCTCCCGCAGGGCTTGTCTGCGCACCTCTGTCCACTTTGAAGTTGGCACAGCATCTTTAATAAATTTGAAACTGAAATACGCTTGCATTTTTGATGTTTTATATTTTCAACAACCATTCAGTGCTTAGGCCCCAGATGTCTATGATTATGAGCACATTGAACACTGACAGAGGCAGGCTCATGTAATTTTCTTAGGATCCTGTGCAGAATTCTAAGCTTTAATTATCAATCAATAGTTAGACTTCATTTCTTGTTTGTTTGCATCTATTTATGGAACTCATTTAGGCAACTCTTTCATGGTCTGTGAGTCATTTATTTATGCATTTTTTTTGCTGTGTCACTGTGAAGAACAGATGGCAGTAAATGCTTTCTGACTTGGTTTAAAGACTTGAGTTTCCCTTGCATTAATAGATTGCCATTTTTAATGCTGCCATCTCTTTTAAAGTTGCTTGCTCATGAACATATGAGAATATACAGCAGAAACCTATGTGTCCTTTATCTCATTGAGCATTTATGCCTAAATGTATACAGTGGGTAGAATATGAACTTCAGAGTCAGTCTCAGCTGCATTGAACAATTGGCTCTTCGAGAAAGTAGTCCATAATAGCCATATGAGTTTGGGCAAATCTCTTCATCAAAAAGAATGGGGATATTGACTGTTGACTTCCCAAAAGAGCACCAGAAAAACCCCCACCTGAATGAATCTGTGTGTGTTGGATTCACGGTAGGCAGGGTGAACATTGTCTTGACAGAGACTTAGTAATATCTCAGAAGGGAGAAGTCGGGAGAGGATTGGAACCGTCAGATGGGAATAACAGATCAGCAGTTCCCTGATCATTGGCGCCTCTCAGAACCTTCAAAGGCCCACGTATCAGAATCCTTTTCTCGCCTCACCAACCCCTGGGAGACTGTGATTCAGTGAAGTCTAAGCTGAGGGTGTAGGAGTTTGCTCTTTTTCGAAGCTCCTCAGGAGATTCTGCTGAGCAAGCAGGTTTGGGAACCCTTCTGAAGAATACAGCCTTAGAGGCACTCACATCCCAGCCCTGCGGTTTCAGGGGAGCCCCGCGTCCCCTGAGAGTCATTCATACACATGAGGTGCAACTGCTTGGATGTCTTTCTGTGCCACCACCATTCCGGTTCCAGTGGAGGCAAGCAGGGCACATCTGGTTGCAGGCACGCTTCGTGGGCCGCGAGGTTAATGCAGCTGTGACTTTTTGGGGAGAGGGCAGCGGGAAGGGAAGAGGCACAGGAAAAGGAAATAGAATACAGTACAATTTTCACCTTCTTTTAAGAACTGGAAGCCCCTTTATTCATTCCCGTGCATTAGGTGTGAGGGGTCGAGGTGTCTGCTGACAACTGATTATGGAAACCTGGCCAAGAATGCCCGGATTTCTGTAGAATGTGAAGCTCCAGCCTGGTCTATTTCAGTTTCAAGGCAGGTGCTCATTCTATGGCTGCTTCAGGGGTCTCTGCGGCTTTCATGTGGCACTGGGCTAACAATAGTCACCATTTATTGGCAGCTGCTCTGTTCTGAGAACACGTTCAGCACCTCCTCTACTTTGTCTCTTTTAACCCTCCAGACAACACTGAGACCTGTTATCCTCTTATTAAAGAAGAAACTGAGGCTTGGAGAGTTAAATAACTTACCCAAGACTTGACACAATGTGTACTGCACCGGCGGCGTTGAGGCCCAGGTGTTTGGGTTTTGTTTTTGACACTAAAACCTGTATCCTGAAGGCATTCCAGAATAGCAATTAGGACTGCGGGCTTGCAGCCCTCCTACCCGGGCTCAACCCCGAGGCTGTGTAAACTTGGACAATATGCTGAAGCCCATTTTCTCATCTGAAAATGGGGTTCTTAACCCAGTTAATAAATGGGGAAAAGATCTGCACAGATGGCAAATAACACAAAAAGATGCTCCACATCGTATGTCATTGGGGAACTGCAAATCAAAACAGCAATGACACACCTATTAGAATGGCAAAAATCCAAAACACTGGCAACACCACGCACTGGGGTGGATGTGGGGCAACAGGCGCTCTCATTCATTGCTGGCGGAAACGCGAAATGGTACAGCCACTTTGAGACACAGGCGGCTTCTTACACAGCTAAGCGCGCTCTTACTCTTTGACACGTGAATGAGCTGAAAACTTATGTTCACACAAAATCTTGCATAGGGGGGGTTTATAGAAGCTTTATTTATAATTGCCAAAAGTTGGAAGCAACCAAGATGTCCTTCAGTAGGTGATGGGTAAACAAATGGGCACGCCCATGCAATGGGATATTATTCAGCAATATAAAGAAATGATCTCTCAAGCCCCGCAGGACATGGAAGAACCTTAAATG